CACTGATCCACAAAATCTAGTTCTGATCAATCTACGAATTGACTATCAGCTACGGTCTCCCGCACTGGAAACAGTCTGTCTCTATGAATTTGTTAGTCTCTTTCATCGAAAGTTATTCACCGACAAGGATCGACTAAACATAGATCGTCCCTCCACAAGTACCGAAGATGTTCAACTAAATTCAGGTCGTCCACGTCAAGAAAGATACTCATTTATGATCGAACATCAACAAGCAAAGTCTCATGGCATAATTAAACGTCTTAAATCTATCGTTCCTGTACTTCTTGGCCCACAGATTCCACGTAAAGACAGAGAAGAGACTCAAGAACGATATAGTCGAGCAATAGCTACTCTCTTCATTCCATGGAGAAGTGTTAAAGATCTTTGTGTTGTCAATCAGAGTTGGCGCGAAGCACTTTCATCTCGACAAGAAAGTATTTCAACAGAATCAAAGCAAATTATCGAACATATTCAACTCTTACATAATTGTAAGAAAGATCGTGACGTACATCTACAACAAATTATCTCAAACGTCCAAGCCAGTGACGAAATAGATCCTCGTCTTTTTCCTCGAAACATGCGCGTAGACGACAGTGACGAGGATGATGACGATTCGGATCAAAATGAGACGTATCTGAATTTCCTCGATAGCTTAGCAGATAATAATCAAACGTCTACTATCAGTCATCTTTCTGAAAAAGAGCAGCTTTATCAAGATGAAGCGCTTCGCTCTCTTCATCAAGTTGGCCGATTTTCGAATTGCACCAGTAAGTATCTTTTCTTGATAATGGTAATTCTGACTATGTAAAAATATTTTTCTTATTAGGACGTGATCAACCATCCATGGTATCCACTTCTCTATCGCATTTCAGTGTCAAAACCCAGCATTCAGTACAGCAAAACGCTGCCTGGCAAGCCACCATAAAATCTGATGCTCTTCGAAGACGACAACAGAGTATCTTAGAGGATGCTCCTTCGCCACTCAACCATGCCTCTAATGAACTTATCTCAATCAATACAACAAACTATATTGCAGAAGGTACAGCACGAATTGACGACCGCGTTCAGTCTGTTGCAACAAACACATTAGCAATTCCAACTCGTCGCCAAGTTTGTGAAAAGTTTACGCTCAATGATGAACAAGCACGAGCTTTTTACATCGTTTGTCGGCATGTTGATGGAGAAAGTCACCTGAAGATAGGTAAAAAAGCATCTTTTTTTTCATTTTGTTATTAATTGTTTACTTTTCAGATGGAAAACAAGAACAATTGATTATGTGCGTACCTGGACCTGGAGGAACAGGTAAATCCCGTCTTATCGATGCTATCACTTGTTATTTTGTTGAAACACAACGGAAAGAGAAACTCCGCAAACTCGGTCTAACAGCCGTGTCTGCCTCTCTCATCGGAGGCCACACGATTCATTCTTTCTTAGCTTACGTACGCAGCACTAAACGCCAAAAGAAGACGGTGACAGCAGGGTCAACGAACGTTGAAAACGACTGGAAAACTGTGGAATATCTTATTATCGACGAAATTTCAATGGTCGGACTTAGATTAATAGCTCGATTAAATGAAATACTCACTCTTGGAAAGCGAGCGCCACCAGAAATACCGTTTGGTGGTATTAATGTAATTCTGCTCGGCGATTATATACAGTATATGCCAGTCCTCGACAAACCTCTCTATTCAAATCTCGACTCTAGCTCTTCTACTCGCTTGGGTACCGACACTGATGTTCAGTACAGAGTAGGGCGCTCATTGGTTCTACAAATCAATACAGTCGCTCAGCTAACACAACAGATGAGAACTGAAGATCAAAAGTACCTAACTTTACTCAATCACCT